TGTTTTAGGGCCCTGTCATTCCGAGACGAATCGACACAAATGAAGCTGTCTCCGGATTCAGTCACTTTGTGCAAAATGAATGTTTTCTTTTTAAAAAAAGGAGTGTGAATTCAAACTTTTTTGACATGTAACTTTCCTATCGACCGGTAGCAGCAGGAGAAATATCTGCCATGGACATGCTGGATTGGAAAAAAAGTAGTAATAATGATGTGCTTTGTGTAAAATACACATGTCTCAACACCTAAACTTCTATTATAACAAGTACGGAAAATGCAGTTATTGAAAGATTACTTAATTTCTAATTTCTGCAATTTCTGGAGTAAGTTATCATTTTATTTTATGACTAACTAAATCCTGCAAATGCTTGCATGGAAAATTCACCTTGTTTTGTAGTGGGAACCATTTGTATGTCAAAACAAAAATTTCGAATTATTTTGCAATGTGAATATATTTTTACCATATAAAACATATGCTTTGTTTTGAAGCTAAACAATATTCAGTGCACACAAAAAATAAGCACATAAATGCAAATCAAGAATGCAATCAAAAAATAATGTAAATATTTTTTTCCTTATCATTTATTGAAAATTCTAAGGCGGTCAGTAGTTTGCCTAATAACAAATTTTTAACATTTTTATTTCAGAAAATTTGAACTTTATGCTCAAGTATTTTTAAGCACAAATATAAATCTTTGTTTCCCAGTTTGAAAAATTCATAAAGCAAAATCAAATTTAGAATTACTTTTTAATGCGAATTTATATTGTTTTGCAACATGAAACATTCACATTATTTTGAGCTGAAAAATGTTATGCACTTACTAAAACTGAAATTTGAAGATTATAACATAACCAGGTCCCGAAACCCACCAACATTTTAATTTGTTTCTGCCTAACCATCTATATCTAAGCTAACCGCCCCTTCTCTTTTCCCCAAAAAGGTTTTATTTGATAGTGCAAAACAGGATTTCTCAACGGTTTGGTACTGAATTCAAGGAATCGATAAAATTTTAAGAGTCCAATGGTGATTAAAAGGTCGATTGCTGAAAATACATCAGCAATTGAGCCGAGTAATAGAGTGGATATAATATTTATATACTTTTGGTGCGGCCGATTGCAACCAAAATATGAGGTGCACATATGCATGTTATAGCAGTCCTACATACAAAATTTCAACGTTCTGAGGCTACTCATTTTTGAGTTATGCGAGATACATACGTATGTACGTACGTTCAGACACCACGAAAAGTTCTCTTCAGAACTCATTTTAAAGCAGTTTTATAATTTTTGGGGGAGGGAAAAGAATCCTTTATTCTGTCCTTACGTACAGATTTCACGCAAAAACGTCGTTAAATTGCATTCGATAGCGGTTAAAATGAATATTTTCGTTGGAATATGATACCTGAAACTTCTCGCGATTACAATACTTCCTTTTTACTTCGTACAAGGAAGCAAAAATGCAGATAACACCAATACAAATAGTAATAATAATACAAAAATAACAAAATATAAATCTAATAAACCTTTCTTTTTTTCAAAACTTTTGTGCATATTATTGATCTAATTGTAACCTTTAAGATATTTATGGACAATTATTTGTGTTACGATTATGTTGTATGCTGCATATCATACAGAAATCTGTAAGAGGTCAGTGAAGAAAACTGTTCTTTTAAAAGGGGAAAGAAAAAGATTGGGGATCCCTGGTGTAAAAGTTAAGATGTTTTCATGCATGTCAGGTCAGAAACAGGCCTTTTCTGATATGCTTTGAACAAATATTACCAGCAGTTACTCTATGAACAACTAGCATCAAAAGTAATAAAATATATTTTTAATTAATCGTATTAATTCACAGCAACTTTTTAAAATTTATTTTAAAGTGGGATTTTTATATTAAATTTAGTGCTTTGAAAACGTTCCTAGGATCTCTAGAAGGACAGTAATTAAAGATTTTTAACTGACTATTTGGTTTAGGGAACAGAGTAATTAACAGAATGGAATTTATCTTCCTATTTAAAGTTTAGAATTTGAATTAGTATACCATTTTAATTTATCTTCTGCCAAGTGCAAATTTCTAATTTCGAAGTAATTTCAAGCCAAAAAAAAAAAAAAAAAAGAGTATTAAACTCATTCAGCGCGCGCTCATGTACTTTGTTGGAACAAATCTGTCCTAAATTTCAAATGAGAGGAGGAAGAAGTTATTCAGTCATATCGGTTGGAATTATAAATGAATCAAAATAGGCTGTCGGTCCAATTGTAACTTCTTTGTTATTAAATTTAACAGTAAATTAAATTAAACAGACCTCACAACTTAACAATTAACCATGGCGGTGATCTTAAAACTGTTTTAAGTTTTTACCCAACAACCGAGTTGTAATTTAAAGCTATACTGATCTTTTACCCCCCCCCCCCGCCTGGTGGTTTTACAAACTTAAAAATCTGACGAGGATACCAAATGACTGCCTTGTACAGATTATTAAACTATATACGATATTTAATGCACTTCATTTAAACTTATTTTCTCGAATTGTTCTACTTTAATCAACCGATTCCCAAGGCAATTTGAAAATGACATAAAAAATTGCGAATTTTGAAGTTAAATATTTCGGTCAATTTTTGTCGTACAGGAGTCAAACTTCTTATAATTTTATTTTTTCATAACGAGTATAAAACTTTTTTATATATAAGTATAGGAACAGAAGACAGCATTAAAAGTTAGATTGAGTTATTTGTCGAAAATTATGTTTTTTTTTTTAACTTGACACTGCCGAAACATGAATATCTCCGTCATTTAAAACAGTTCTTTAATTGGAAGAGCATGACTACTACAAATTATAATAAAAATAAAAGCCGGTTACGGATTTTTAAGCCGGATAAGGGGGTGAGTATAAACATATATAAATATGTTTGGTATTAGCGTTTGCAGTAAAAAAAAAGATGTGCTCGACTAGATGTTACAGCAGCCCCATACACAAAGTTTCAACATTTTACGGCTAATAGTTTTCGAGTTATACGAGATACATACATGCGTACGTATGTACGCACGACGTCACGAAAAAAATCCCCTTTGAATCCATTTTAAATCTATTTTACAATCTAATTTAGAAAAAATAGCCCTTTGTTCTGTCTGTACCTACAGATGTCACGCAAAAAAAAAATCATCCAAATGGATTCGGGAACAGTCAAAATAGATACTTTCGTTGAAATATGATACCCGAAATATTTTGCGACTGCAATTCTTTCTTTACTTCGTACAAGGAATAAGAAATTATAATGCAAAGAATATAGTGCAAGTGATAATGATGTTTTCTCGTTTTACAAAGCATAAGATGAGGCGATCAGTTTCAATTGATTTACAAAAATAGTATTCTATTTTCAAAACTGCAGCAAGTGAATTAAATGTGCTATTGACTTTCAACAATATACCAAGCCTAGCAGTTAAGGAAGCGTTCATGAGACTTTTTAGTTATACTAATTGTCATTTACCTAACACGCAAACGTCACTAGCTTCGTTCACTCTTATAGAAGAAGGTCTAAGAGTAGCCAGTCAAGAAAGGCAAATTTGCGCATATTTGAATGTGAAATTCACACAGCGAAATTTTTCAGCCGAATATCAGTTTATGTTATCAGTTGGTGTGTTTGGCCGATTCTTATGTAATAAGACTGAAATGTTAATATATTTATACAAAACCCTTATCGTTTTCCACAATGAAGCAACGTCTCTGCTCTAAAAGCCCGACTTAGCCGGTATCCGCTTTAAAATTACGGCAGGAAAGGCTACTGAGACAATCCAGCAGCTACGGGGCGCAAGCTGTCGTAAGCTCACGCTTAAGATAAATCTCTTACTTTATACTACGTCGCTTGCCATTAAATTTACATGCACTTTCTGATCTGAGTGAGTACTGCGACAAAAGCCAAAAGGATAGGATACAGTTTAACTCACATCTAACTCTCAGTAAAACTTTGTCACAAAATCATTAGATATTGTAGTTAAATGGTTGCGACATTGTATACTTCAATTGGTAAGCTACTCTCTCCCTGAGAAGAGAAAAAGTTCCAGGATTCGAAATTAAATCTCTAAATTAAAGGGCAAAGATTATAGTATATGGTAAAGTATAATAGTATAATTTGGTTTAAATTCAAGAATAATGGAATTCGCAGCTGTTCATTGATAAATTTTAAAAAATCACAAAATATCAATCCCGAATTTTCGGAGTATTTAAATAAATTTGGTACGGTCATTATGTAGATTATAAATAGGTAAGACTATTAAATAAAACTTAAACCTAAAGTTACGTGGATTAGAAATATCAAAATATTTTATCATTTTGTCATCAAAACATTCCCCTTCAAATGTTAGGGGAAGTAAAGCAGAGCTCCTCAGAACAAAACGAACTTCAGATTGAAGGAGAAATATTATATAATTATAGACTTTTACTTCCATTTATTAATTGAAATCTGCTTTTACTAACATGACATCTAACTTGCCCTTTGTGAATTCTGGTATCTTTACAAACATCATTTCAGACTTTAATGGCAATCATTTAATATTTACAATACAAGATACTGGGAATGGCAACAAGCAATACAAGATATTATGAATGCCAGCGCAATTTTATTAGCCCACTTTTGGAAGAAATTTAACACAAAGGATACATTTGATAATTTCAAGAACTGTTGGAGCTAATCAAGTCAGAGAGCTATTATAAAAGAAAGTTTGCGTAGTTGGGCAACTGTTTGTTTTGGGTGAAATCATCAAATGTTCTCCTCACTAATGAAATGGTCAGCACTGAATATAAATATTAGCTTTCAGAGAAGTTTATGCAATCGTGCAAGACTTAATGAACTCACATTTTGAAGAGTTGAGTGATAACAATCACTGTTACATCGATCATTAGTCAGCATGTGAATAAGACGATGAGGAATTGAGTGATGAGGAAATCATTTCCAGAAAGTAAGTCAACTTGAAACAATTTTAAGAAATACTTTATTCGCATAGGTAAAAAATTGAAAACACAAGCTATGAACTTGGATCCAGATCTAGAAAGAATTCACGTATGACTGGCAAAGCACTGATTTGTTACAAGAATAACCATAAAAAGAGAAGAACACGGAAGAATATTAAAAACATTTAAATAATTTTGTTTAGAAAATGTAAATCAAGTATTGTTTGAAAATATTTTTACGGCCTTTAATACGCAGCTTCATTTTTATTACATATATATAAATGAAATTCTTTAAAGAGCATCTATAGTATTGCAGATGTAATTTTGTTTTACTCCTTTCCCCAAAAAAGGTTTTCTTCTACAACTACGAAAAAGACCCCCTTTATAAAGTCCTGGGTCAAATATCGGTGGACTTCAAAATAAACATACACGATTATTTTATAGTTAGTTAATTAAATGTGTTTACTAAATATATATAAAATAAATGCATATACCTAATATGTTAACAAATCTACTTTTAACTTTTTTTATGATGCTACTAGTACAAAATTTTCTTTCCCCTTCTAAATGTATAAGAAAGCAGCTTTAACTCATTTGCTTCTACCTGGGCTGTGATGAAATGTTACTTTGTCGGTAACCGTTCCATCAAGAAACAGACAAAAAGAGAAACTAAAACAACTTTTCAATTCATCAACCTATTCCTATCAACTTGGATCCCTGTACAATCGCCCACCCTCCTCTGTTGCTTCCTTAGAACATTCGAAAATGAAAGAAAGGTCGTCGGGTTCGAGGTCTACTTCCAAACAGCCTGGTGTCACAATAAGGGAAGTTGAACCAATCGTTCTTTTTTACGTCTGCTTGTTTCCCCACCTATTTCAGACGCCTCATGCGTCAGTATAAACATAGCGATTAAATGAACGAAGGTGTGGTCACCAGGAGGAGTACGATTGGGAGAAAAACGCATCGAAAGACCGGTTTCTTTTACTTAAATAAATGTCACTTTTCATTCGGGAAATGAAAGAAATAGGAAGTGTCAAACATAAGAGCTTTTCTAGCACTTTAATCTGAAAGATGGGTGTAAAAGGAAAACAATATAAATAGGCATAACAAATTCTGCTTGTTATTTATTCTTTTTAGTTTTCTAAACTGACTGTTACTGTGATGCATTGTTGTTATAAAACATGAAGAAGTTGTTTACAGTGATTTTGTAAACAGGCATAAACTTCTGAAGACTTTCAGTGTAATGTTCTGCATATTTTTGGTTCTCCTCCTGGATTTTGTAAATTTCATTTGGAAAAGAATATAGATTTTCTTTTAAATGAATTATGGATTCCTTTCAAAAAGTTTTGGACTGACTACTGTCCAAGAAATTTAAACTAAAAATTCAATGCATTCTTGAGTTCTGTAAGTATTCAGAATCATTCAGTATTCCAAAATTTAGGCATACACACTTTAAGCTCAAGATCAATCTCGGCACGATGAAATCTACTGTTGCAAAGCTTGACCGTGTTCACCAGTTTCATAAAAATATATCTTCACAGTTTGGACTTAAATGTATCGCACTTAAGAAAGGACTGGATGACTGATTGCATGTTTTTATGCGGATGAAGCAACTACTCTAGGTATTTTCTCTACGATTTTTCTAATTTAAAGAATCTTTGAGTTTGATAAGGTAATTTTGATGGAGTTTATCTGGCACTTCCAAAAAATCCTTGAAAAATCGAAACAAAAATTTGTCCCCTTGACAAATTCTCAGGCTGCGATCCAGATTATTACAAGTTATAATTAGCATCTTTTAGTCACTGAATATGATTATAAAGTAATCATTGACATTCTTGTATCTTCTAGTAGATAAATAGTCCTTTAGTGAATTTCTAGACGCTGTAGTTCGCCTGAAAAGAAAAAAAAATCAGATAAACTTGCAAAAGACGTTTGTCTCGAGCCTTTTTATTCGCATGCTTACTAAATAAATGCAAAAAAGTTCATTAAATATAATATAGTTGTAAAAGGCGAGCATTTATGTATAAGGAGATAGCTACTGGCGAGTCTCTTGGGTACCTGCATTCAACGAGATCTTCCTCGAAGTCCCTTTTATCCGTCTCCTGATTGGTCAGGACTCATTTGTATCGTACAGTCTATCTGAATCTGTGGATTGCATTTTATGTTGTAAAAATTTTAGTATGAGTGGCAAGCATCTTCATGTCTGTCCAGACTTACTGGACATTTCTTATTACAAGCTGCTCTCCAGTCCTGAAACTGGAGTCTACATTGGAATGTAAGAATTCCAAGTTTGTTTCTACACTGGATTGCAAGGATTCCAAGCTTGAAAGAACTGTTGTAGATGTAATAGGTATTTATATTAAATTTCCTTTTATAATATTGACGCTAATGTGCATTAATATTTCCAAAGTATGTTTCTATGTTTATAAGCTCTAAACTGCGTCTTTTAGTAACAATTGCTTAGAGTTTTGGTTTTGAAGTTGGGGTATGATTATATATCTCGTATCCAAAATGCTTATGAAAGCTCGGATCAATATTTTGCAATAATGCGATTTAGCTCTGTGTTTACTGCGAGCTTAAAAATTCTCAAATTAAAAGTCTGTCGTCTCAAAGATCCAAAGATAAGTAATGAACCCAGAATTGCGGAATCAAAGACCAGATGAAATCGACTGAGGTATTAGCTGTTTGCAAACATTATACCTAGTTAACATATTTCTAATGTAGAGTGGATTCTATCTCAAACTGCATTTGTTTCTTTTTAAAAATATCATCATCATAAGGTACTCTTTAACTACTTTTATTTTTTTTCAAAAATGACGATTAATTGCCATAAATACCCTCACCATCTTCTTCTTAGGATATTCTTAAAACGGAAAAAAAAAAAAAAAAAAAAAAAAAAACCCCGCCAAATTTAGCAGTCTTTATTCTGTTAGATTTTAAGCAGAAAAATGTCTTTTTTTCCCTCCAATGTGTAACACATAGCCAGTTTCTTCCTCCATCGTTTGAAGGGACGAGAGATTTTTACTTCCCAATCCTTTCATTTTCTAATACCCCCCGAAGGACTTTTTTTCTTCAGATCAGATTTTAAACTATCACTGAATTCTACCACATTCTAGTAAATGTTTCTGCTTTGCGGAAATCATCAGAGTGCTTTAGTTAACTTGTAAGCTGAAGTAGAAATTGGATGCACAGATTGTTCTGTTATCCGTTCTGTGTAGCAGCTAGATACATCAACTCATGAAACATAATATTAATTTTCGTATAAATAACTACATTCCAATTGTTAAATCAAGTAAACGCTGAGTAACATTTTTCCTAACTTTTTCTTTCCCAATAGCTTTTCATATTTCTATAACTTCAGTTTGTTTTTTCAACAGCGTCATTTATATTTCTGTAGCTTCTTTTCTTTTTTTTTTTTTTTTTTTTTTTTGTGGCTATATTTTTTATTACCTATAGTTTTCATTTTAATCTCCAATCTTTTTATCTGACATGTTCCGACATTGTTCGATTCCAGGAAAACGGGCTGGCTTCATGGGCGTTTTCCTGGTTTTCCCCACGTGTAACATGTATATGAGCCAGTTTCCTGTAGAAAATCCTCCACTAAGGCATTCCTTAGGCACGTAGCCCTCGAAAGCTTTGCCTTACTTCAATAATCCAATTCTGGTATGAATTTAATTTTAAAATTTGCTTATGTAGTTACAGTTTCATCTTATTTTTATGTTTTTTTTAATATACTTAGTTTTCTTTTCCTGTCGCTTTAATTAAATTACAGCAATTTAAAAATGTAGAAAAATGGTTTTATCTAAATTCATAGTTCTGTAAATAAAAAACTGCATATTCTAAAAATTGACGAAGTTGTCTCTGATCTCGAAAATAAAGGACTGTCGAACCAGAAATGAGAAGCATAAAATTTTAGCTGATGTTTATAAGGTACTCTCTACTTTCTTTCTGCATGCCTTCATATACAATGGTAGCACACGCTGCGCGTATTCGAGAGATCCAGATTCGAGTCATGGCGAGGTCATTGCTTATATTTCACATCTCCTGCTTTAAAACATCCTAATGACTCTACAGTTGCGCCTGAACTAGAAGGTGGATGATGATGATTCTTCACTACCAGGATATGGCGATTGGGTCCCCTAATCCCCAGTTCCCCTTTAAATTTATAAATTGACAAGAGCTGAGAAATATATCGTGAAGATTACTCAACATGATTCTTTTTCATCTGATAATATTAAGAAGCTGAAGTCAATAAGCATGTTCAAAGATGACGAAGGCATTTTACGTGTCAAGTCTAGGTTGAATGAAAGGAAAGACCATGAAAATTTTATTTATCCGATATTACTTCCGAAGAATCATAACACTGTGGAGAAACTGATAATTGATAAACATCTATCTATGTCTCATGCAGGAATTCACGTACTGCTGTCAACACTTAGATAGACGTTTTGGATCCTGAAAAGCAGAGCTACGATTCAAAATGCTTTATATGCATGTGTCAGGTGCAGGAGACATGGAGGTAAACGAATACAGACTGTGCCTGCTACTCTACCAGAAAACAGAGTTAGAGATGCTCGTGTTTTCGAGATTGTCAGCGTTGATTTAGCTGGCCCATTAATTTTGAAGGATAAAAGAAAAGCTTGGATTTTACTTTTCATATGTGCTGTTTTCAGGGCGGTCCATTTGGAACTGATTTTGTCCCTTTCAACTCAAGGGTTTTTACTTGCTCTTAGAAGATTTATGCGCGTTACTCGTAGAGGAAGGCCATCGATAATTTATAGCGACCGATATGGGAAGCAACTTTGTCGGATCCAATAATCTCTTGAGATCGATTAATTGTAATACCATTGAGATAGAAGCCGCCACAAACAAGATCGAATTGGAAGTTCAGTCCACCCGCAGCACAATGGTGTGGCGGCTTTTGGGAACGACTTGTTCAAATGATTAAGAAGCTTTTGCGTCGAGTCCTAGGCCAGTCGTGTCTGAATTATGAAGAATTGATGAGTGTGCTGTGCGATGCGAAGCAACTGTGAGTGCCAAACCACTCACTTATGTGTCAGAGGGCTCTGATGATCTCATCCCTTTGACACCGTCCTTGTTTTTATGTGAAATTCCAGTCTTTGGAGTTCCTGACTTGGATCATTTTGATAAAGTTGATTTCAACAAGAGACTGAGACATCTACAGAATCTACGAAAGCTCTTGAGAAATAGATTTGGAAATGAATATCTCAGCCTGCTAGTGCAACGCCCATCTACATTGCCGATTTCTCAATAGATAAAATCGGGGATATAGTTCTTATCGGATGCGATGACAAACGCAAGGTGTTGTGGCCTCTAGCAAAAGTGATTGAACTATACCCCAAAAAAGACGGCATTATTGGAGTAGTTCGTGTCAAAACCATGTCTGGAGAATTAGTTTGACCAATACAGAGAATATTCCCTCTCGAAATAAATTCATCTTTGGAGTCAGATGAGGCAAATGAAACTAAGACGCAGGGTGAAGGCAATTTAGTTTCAAAATTGCCGAAGAATAATTCATTTACAGATTTATCAAAAGACATTAAGACTGTAGTGACTAGAAGTGGACGACAAATTAAAGTTCCATCTATATTTCTAACCTGAACACTACTTGAGTTATTTTAGAGTAGAAATTTAAGAGCTTAGTTTTCCTTTTGTTTACTATTTAGCCTTGAAATTTGTGTGGACAGTATTTTTTTATATTTTGTTTTGATCGATTAAGTATATGCCATCAATCAAAAGGTGGGAGTATTGTTAGAACCCAGCCTCAGTTATTATCTTTCTTTTCATAGTTTGTCACTGTAAGAATGGCAACCACGTGAACTTTGTTGTAGTTTGTTGTAGTTCTACGGATTTTGAAAATAAATATGACGCTTTGGAATTTTATATGTAAAGTTATTTTATTTTAAGTTTATTAGGAGAAAGGAGACCGGTTAGTTCTTGTAAATATCGAACAATTTTGTGAAGTATATAACGTATTTTCTCCCTCTTTTCTGCGTGCCTTCGTGGAATAACGGTAGCATACTCGGCAAGCATTCGAGAGGTCCAGGTCCGAATTCTGGCGAGGGCGTTGCTCATTTTTCATGTTTCATGCTTCGAAATATCCTAATGTCTCTACATGTTAACAAAGCACACCTTTGCATCGAGGACAAAGATGGCCGGTTAACTGCGTTTTTACTATGCCAAATACTGAGCATCGCGATTGAATTTGGTCGCTCCAAATTTTGGTAGAGAAACCCCTTTGCTTCTCTTGTAAGCGTCTGGTACCAGCCTCTAAGCATAAAATCACCAAACATTCCTCACTAATCGTGGAACCTTCCGGCCAGGGTCTAGGACTTTGATGGCTAACCTATGACACGAATGTCACAGTCGGCACTCAGAGCCTTATCAAGCGGCAAGCGACTAAAATATTACTTCCTTAATCAGTAATCACAATAAAATGATACTATGTAATTTAAATAAGTGTTTTAGTTTGTTCTTGAATGTTTCACTTACTCACTTATCGCATAATAGTGTGCCAGTTTTTCTGGATTGCACCCAAGTTCATATCGTGGATGCCCGATGATCTCCAAATATAGACCTGCAATAAAGAAAAACAACAACGTTAAACCTGGGCTTAGTTTCGCAGGGGCAACGAAATCTTACTCTCCATTGCAAACTAATGATAAACCTTTGGAAAAAAGCCAACCCGATGCTGAACTTCCTCAGCCCGCTCTGAGTAATATTAATTTAAATAGAGATAGCAACGATATCCTAGACTTCTTTAAGTGTTTAAAAGAAATTCACAATGTCTTTAGACAAAATAATATACTAAAAATGACTCAAATCTTCAAAAACAATATTCCTAAGTTAAAGCAACAGACAGAAAACATAGATAAACTCTTCATCTATTTTGAGATGTTATCTGAAATCACCTCAAGCAGCAATTAATACATTTATCTCTTGATTAATAGAATCGTTGTCTAACAGCTGGGCTAAATTTTTCTACCCGTAAAAATAGTATTACTGCTTAAACTTTTATCAATGTTTAATACCAAGTCCTAATCCCCTCCCCCTTTTCGGCTAAACCCTCCCCTACCAAAAATGCCTGCCTATAGCTACTTATGCTACACTTTCTTTCATCCTTCTGCTACTTCCCTCAATGAAATCTACATTTGCTAACCTTGCCTCCCTTTATGACGGATAACTAGTTCCACCGCTGATGGATAATCTGGCTTTGTGAGTACTACCGCTACGAAGTACGAATTGAATTTGTTTACACGGTAACTTCTGCAGTTATCATCTTATTGCCAATCTCATCGCTAGATTGTTTCCTGTTCATCGAACTCTGTTCACTACTGCATCATGCCTAGTATTCCCTTCTACTCCCATTTGAACTTTTCCTACCGTACTGTATGCTATGCCCATCAAATGATATGTACAACACTGACAAGTTACACACAGGATAGGGTATTCACCCAGGTGCCTTCACCAGGTGAAAGCGCGACTGCGTCGCCTAACTAAATGGCACAGAGCCTAAAGCCAGATATAGCATTTTCATATATCGCCATAGAAATGATATACATATTATTATATATAGATTCCAGTTTCCAGATCTAAGCATATTGAGGTAATTTATGAATAATTCTAAATGAATATCTTAAACGAATGGCACGCGGCCATTCCATTTTGGGCACGCGGCCCCAAAAACGTTCGCCACCACTGGTCTAGGATAAGCAAGCATTAAAGGATCGCAAAGATCTGGCCAATGGCTGGTATGTTATACAAAGTAAGTACAAATGTTCAAGCCACGTTATAATACTTCGCTAAAGTACAAAACTGTTTAAAAAATGAAATGAGTGTACAAAGCAAAAAATAAATCAAATATATTAGGTTGGTGTATTTAATTATGGCAAAGCACACGAGGGCTATCTGCCTAAAGGGAGGGGTGCCTTTCGTGGAGGACTTTCTAAGGGAAACTGGCTCGTATACACGTTACACATGGGGAAAACCACGAAAACGCCCATGCAGCCAGCCCGTTCGCGGGATTCGAACCTCAGACCGAACTACCAGTGTTCAGCGTCTTTACCGCTCGGCCGCTGGTGGGCCAAATATATTAAGAAAAATTTATAATGAACAATGCGGCCTGCGCCAAGTAACGTAATGTGCAAACTAATAAAATCAAAATGTGCAAACTATCAATAATATACGCAATGAGTAGAAAAAAAAATAATAATATCAGTAAAAAATCGGTATAGTACATTGTGGTTGACTGGCATCTGCCTAAGGAAAAGGTGCTTTCATGAAGGACTTTCTAATATAAACTGGCTCTTATTTACTCGGTCATTGATGGGGTTTACGATACATCGTGATTATACATGCAGTACAAATTTGTGCATATATGTTTACACTGCATGCATAATCACGATTTATCACGTAGTATATGATGCAGTATACAGAGTGTACTGTAGAGATATTATTGTAAAATATGTGCACATTGCATTCTGCATTATATGTGTATGTAGTAGAAACTGCAGTATATGCTAGTATATACTACAGTACACCAGCCCATACATGTGCATTATGGTGGCTGAAACCCACCATCTCGCGTGAAGTACGCCTCATCCGTAAATAAAACGTATAATGGGAAATGCGCTTCTTGGCGACTATGGTCTAGATACCACCGTGCAAAACACACACGCTCAGGATGATCTGCAGGGAGCGGTGACGGTACTCTTTGTAAGCCCTTCACGCTGCAAAATACAATGAACACTACTCTAAGATCCTCCAACTTGTACGCTGGTATTCTGATTCCTTCGAACGGTATCCAACAGATTTTTTTCCAAGCTAGGAGCTCGAGGCGCTCGTGGCCCGCCCTCACTGTGCCTATTACCTCGTAATTATCCATATTCAATGAAATTGTGAAGCAAATTAGTAAACATCCTGCGGTCCGGTGCATCTTTCTGTTGGTACTTTTCGCGATAAAATCTTTTTGCTGTTCGTGCATTTCCTTCTACCAATCCGTAAATCAGATGCATATCTGGCAGCTTGTTGTTCGTAAAACGTTCCATACTCCTCTGCGGACGATGACAGCTCAATGCGGCAATGCAGGTCTATTTCCTCCAATGCTCTTGTGAACAATTTCACCTCGTGCCGAACGAAAACGCTTCCGACCATGGGTTGCTATGCAAATCTAAATCCTTGTGATATCCCCTACCTCTGCATAAAATTTGTCCCAATAACCCTGGACACCCTGTATAGATATACTGTAGGAAGGATTCTCGAATCCTTGCCTCTGGAGGAATTTTACAGTTATATACTGTATTACGTATTTTTCGCCCTCTTTACCGCGTGCATTTGTGGTGTAAATGGATAGCACGTTCAGCTAGCAATCTGGACATCCGGTGTTTCAAGCCCAGTGAGGGTATTACACATTTTTAATATTACTGCATCGTTATAACCTAATGACTCTTTAACTGTATAATATGCATACAATATGTACTGTAGAGAACCTTCCGGGAAGGGATCCGAGAACATTCTGCCACCAACCTATCGAGAAATCTTTCGGCCCTACAGCATCCTGACAGCCTCCATGCCACAAAGACACTATACACTATTAACTATCTATGCCTTCTACAGGCTACAAACCCGGACACTATAGTATGGCAGTCAGGTTTCTTTTAGCTCCAAGCGAACGAGGAAGCATTAAAGTGCACTACGGCTTAAAATAAAAAATAATAATAATAATAATGAAGCATCTTCTGATTTAACATAGCATTTTATCCAACAAAATAAACAAACATGATTATTCACTTTATCCAACTTGATTATATATCATTCAGCACTCAAAAGAATAGTCACTTATTCCAGAGCAGGGGTGAACAAAAGTCGGCTTGCAGCCCTCCCCCTAAACGTTTATTTTAAAATGAAACATTATGCATGTTAATTTACACCTATCTTTTATGTTTCATAGGTTGACCTGGATCGTTGCATAGTGACCGCATGTACACTGCGCCAAAAAAGGGGGGGGGACAGTTCCTATGGCTTTCGTTCTACTGGGACGATTGACGAAATTCAAATTTCGTTTTTCATGTCTCGAAAGCGCGACTTAGGATATATATTAGATTTATATATAGCATTGTGTATATTAGATTTATACATAGCATTGTTCTAACATAGCTATTTGACATAAAATTGGACTTTTTCTGAAATAACATACCAATTTTTTTTTTCTATATTTCGATTCTACGACTCAAATTATGCCTAAATATTAAATTTTGTAAAATTCGGTGCGAAATTCAAGGAGAAATTCAAAAATTTATCTTGGCGAACTTTTTTTCAGTTTGCGCCAAGAATAATTCACTTGGCGAACTTCTTAATATATGGCAACCTACTTTCCTTTCCCTTCTTACATTGTGCAGTTGAGACAGGAAAAAAAGTGACATTTGATAATAATTTCAAATAATTTTAACAAAATGCCTAAACCACATTTGATTCGCTTTCAACAAATATGCCAATTTCAAAACGCGCCAGTATTTAAATTCACGTATATCTTCGGAAATTTTGAACAAAAAACTCTAATTTTTTGCGGGTATGCTTAGAAATACATCTACTTTAAACTCTTATGCATTATAATTCAAAATGTTTTTCGAAAAATATATAAAAATTACTTAAAAATACAAATTTTAAAAATAGGTCATAAAAATGGGAGAATGTTATTTGGAATGAACCTAAATTTCGAAAGGTGAAATGAAGAATTAAATAAGTTTAATAAAAAAAAGAAATATTAATAAATATACTAAAATAAGAGGAGCTAAAATTCTGAGAGCCAATTTTTTAAAAACTACTCGTGCGAATTTTACAGAACTTGGCAGTTTGGCATAATTTGAATCGTAGAATTGAAACATGGGAAAAAAAAATTGGTATGTCATTTCAGAAAAAGTCCGATTTAGTTTCAAAATACCTATGTTAGAACAATTCTATATAAATATATATATCCTAAGTCGCGCTTTCGAGACATAAAAAAGACAAGTTGAATTTCATCAATCGGCCTAGTAGAGCGGGAGATATAGAACTGTCCCATTTTTTTCCCGCAGTGTACACCATCTGGGGCTCAGTGAAACTAAAAACTATGAAATTAAGTGCATAAAATTTCATTCTGAATTCTAATTTTGATTTAAATTCTTACCAGGGAATTTTTTTTTTCTTCAATTCGTCCTGGCATAAGGACGTTGCAAAAGATGATCACAGAAACACCATCTCACCTTGCGACGGTCCTGCCCACAAAATACGATAGTATACTGAAACAAAATCATAATGAATTAAAAAAGACCCTTTTGTCCCATGAATAAAAGTATTTATTTGCGCGCCCTGCTCTAGATGGAGCCCTTCACCGCTCATTACAAAAAATGGCTCTGTTTTTTATTCAGGTATACAAAGTGAAACAAACAGAGATAACTGTTACACAAAAATCGGCAGCATTTTGACGTCTTTATGTCAAAATGACATAAAGTCATTTAAGTCTTTATATGACTTGAATTCTATGTCTGAGTCCCTACGAGTCTACATAAAGCAAATATTAATTTAGACGTTACAATATCT